ACTTTCCTAACCGAGAACAAGCAGTGGGATGCCAGCCTGGCGCAGTCACCTCCAGTCGGAACCGCAGGAACCGGGCGCCAAACAGTGGGCAAGCGACCCGCCTGGATTGGCCTTGTTGTGCCTGATTAAAGGGCTGCGCGGCTGCAGAGAGGAGCATCCCTCAGCTGCAAATCCCACGTCACAGCACCTCCAACACATTATTTATGCCTCCTTTTCATGATGCATTAATGAGCGCCACTGAAATTTTCATTTTTAAAAAATTTATTTGCGGGTTATTTTGGTCATAAAAGGAAACAAGGTGTGACTTTGATATTGTCGCAGTTTTCAATCAGAACATTGCGCTGGCGGCGAGGTCTGCAGGCCTCGGCTCACAGCCGCTATTGTTGGTGTGAGAAATGCCGAGCTGAGCTTTGCGGAATAATCACTAGTTCCCGTGAGGCTTCTCCCCCTTCTCTTTCCCCTCCCCGAGGACCGCGATCTCCTAGGAGGGGGACCCCGGGAGGAAGGTCTCAGCCTCTCCCCAGTCCTCCCGAGCTGGAAAATACCAGGCCTAGACCTCTGCTCGCTGCCCTCGGGCCACCGCCCGGCACACAGAGCTGCGGCCACAGGGCGGCAGATGCAACGCAGGGGAAAGGAGGATGGAGTGAAGGTTTCCTGCACTCGCAGTTTCTATCAGACTGATTAGGCCCCGTCAAAAAAGGCCATTTTCCCGGGTTTGGGACTCTGTGGGCACTGGCACATGCTTAAGCCCCTTCCTTCCGAGCTTCGGACCCGAGTCCGCTCAGGGAGAGCTGCCAAGAATCATGATAGAAATCCGCATCTCCAGTGTCCGGTTCCTCAGGACTCAGTGTGAACCTAGGGGTTTACAGGATCGCAGCGAGGACCCGGGCAACATAAAGCGCTCAGCCTCCCTTGGCACCCACCGCGGTTCTGTTCGCCTGTAAGACCCCCGCTGCACGCAGCTCCCTTCCTTAACCACCTCAGACAAACAGCCCCCAGAGCGCCGCTCTCAGCCTGGGTCCCCAGGGCCGGCGGGAGGCTCGGGTGCGAGGCTTCCAATCAAATCTAAATCCAGACTCGGCTAGAGCTGCTAGCCCTGAGCCCACTGGTGCTGGATACGGATGCTGGGAAGGACTCCCGGCCTGAAGCGCTGGGCAGCCGCGTCTAGACCGCGGGCTTAATCCGCTCGCACTTCGCAGCCGCCTGCAAAACTATAATTGGCCGGGGACCCAGGCTCCGGAACCGCGGAGCGATCTGTACGTCCACTCTCCTGCACTTTCATCAAATCACAAGGTTAGAGGTGACCTGCTTGCTAGCGTCTGAGCCACGGCTTCCTGCTGCAGCTGGTCTTGCTCAGCCATGCCCCTCTCATTAACTCAGGGGCTAATGAAAACTGAAGGCCAGGATGTGGTCCAAGGTTTTCCGTAAAGACCCGTGGCAGCCCTCGTGCTTCCGCGCATTCACCAGCTGGACGCCCTGCCTCCTCTCCCGCACCTTCTCTGCCTGAGCCTCCATCCCTCCCGCATCTTCGAGGCCTTCTCGCGGGGCCTCGAGTCGCTGCCACGGCTGAGCCAGGCGAGAGGAGCTGATTATAAAATCTACGCCGGTTCTGGTGGCGGGGTCAAGGCGGCTGCGCAGGCCACCGCGGAGCAGCTGCGAGCGGCTGCGTTCGGGCTTCCCGGGGTCGGAATAATGCAGAGCGGCGGTGCCGTCTTCTCCCCGTCAGTTGAGAGGCCGCGGTGGCCCGGTTCAAGGTCACTGTCTAGTTTGCGGAGAGCGGCTCCGCCGCATATGCAAATGAGGCAGCGCTTGGGCCCTGAAAGAAATCTGAGTAGGGGCTGAGCAGGCAGGGAGAGGGGAGATGAAAAGCGACGAATGTGGACGGCTTGGGCCCCCACCCCTCAGGCCTCTCTGTTTCACCCCTTTAGGGCAGTTGGACTTGCAACAGGGTCTTCGTCGGATTCAGACTAGACAGAGGTAAAGGAAGGGAGCTCAGTCTCTGTTTTTGCTTCATGAGCTCCTCCAGAGGCCGGAGCGCACTTGGTTCCCAGGTCTTCCTCTGGGAGCACGGGACTTAAGAAAGAAATCTGGGAGGCCCCTTCTCCAGATATTGCCTTCTAAGGACCTACAGCCTGGAGGTGGGGGCTTTAGAGAAGCCTTGGGTGAGGGGGCCCAGTCAGGCTTTTAGGCTCGATCCAGCAGCCTGGGATCAGCAGCGTCCTCACGTCCTTCGATCCCGCAGCTCCTTCTGAGCTGCCTCCCGCCGCAAGACCCCAGCCCGGTTGCCACTCAGGAGACGGGGAAGGGGTGGGGAGTCCCGGCGGGAACATCTGGGAAGCCATCTCTCCACCTCTCACCTGAGCATCCCTAAATGGGCCATCTTTCCCCATTTTCTGTCTTTCCGGCGCGCTAATAGTTAAATGGTTGCGTGGCTCTGACATTTTCCACCTCCGCCAGCAGAGGATCTCCTCCGCCTAGTGAATTACTGAGTGTCAAGAAAGGTGTGGGACCAAGTTAAAAAACACACAACAACACACCCTCATCACACGTCACACCCACAGCCGCCTGCAAGGGGGCCTGGTCTCCGCAGACCTCGAGCTCCAGGTGGGGTGAGGACGACCGCCCCAGAGCCCCCTGCCCCACAGCCAGCGGCTGGTTGTGACCGCGGCCTCCCTCCAGGCCTAGCTCTGGGCAGCGGCTGAGATCTGCCTGGGGTCTGTTCTGCCAGCTACCCAAACGCTCCCCGAAGTCAAGCCCCCAGTGCGGGGTGGGGAGCGCGGGCGGGTCGGAGTAGGGGCCACCGGCCCAGGAGGCTGGTGGGGGTGGGGGAGGGGTGGACGTGCTGTTCACCCCGAGGATGGCTGGGCCGGAAGAGCGGGGTCCACTTACCTTTGGAGACGGAAGAGGTTCGGAAGGATGCGGGGCGGGGGCTCTCAGCCTCTAGACACCCTCTCCCCCTTCCCCAAGACCCGCCGCAGGCCAAGCCGAGGTATCAGAGGAGGGCGGGGCGGAGGAGGCGGAGGGAGCGGCCGGCGGTCGGCGCGCGGGAGCTGAGCTGCGAGCATCTCTGGGGAGGCCGCCTTTTATGGTCGTTATTAGCGCCCCTGTCTAGACTGAAGACGACACCTCCTCTGTGTGTAAACAGAGGCGGCGGGCTCTGGCGGGAAGGGGGGGATGGCGCGTCGAGGGGGCTCGCGGCCCTCCCCTTCTCTGGCCACCGGAAGATCAAGGCCTTTCCCCCCCTCCCCCCTCCCATGTGCTCCTTGCGATGTCAAGGTCAGAAAGACCTAGTCACGGTCAAGGCTAAAAGAGGAAGAGCCTGGTTGGTTGCGAAAGGCTCTGGCCCCCTCCTCCTCCCAGGAGCTCCTCGCTTCCCAGGGTCCCTCTATCCTCCCCCAACGCAAGTCTGGATACACATCTGATCCAGCAGTTGGAGGTTTTTGAGGGGTGGGCTCACGCCAGCAGCCTGGGATCAGCACCGTCCTTACCCAGGCCACCTGAGTCGCACCCAGGTGGATCCTAGCGTGGGGAGTTCTCTTTTGAACAGAGGGGCTGCCGCCGCGTCCCCAGCTCCAATCCCCTGAGCCATGGAGAATGTCAGAGGGCTGTCCCTGCTGCACTCCCTCACTGCTGACCCAGCTGTCTGTGGATCAGCCGCAGGAGCAGATGGCATAGAGACAGCGGTGGAGGAATCTCCCGAGAACTGCTGGCCTTGCTCCCTCAGGTGGGTTCTTGGCTGTGGGGCTGCGACTGAAAGGCCCCGTCTGCTGGCCCTGGGTCTGGGGATGAAGATGTGGGTGGAGAAGGACATGGAAAGGATGTAACTGAGCCCTCCCTGGCGTCCTGGGAGAGTGGCCCCCAGATGGAGAGTCCTGTGAGGCTCCAGCCCACCCCCATCCAGGATTCCCGGTCCTGACCTGGTGGGGCATGAAGGGTGGAGAATGCCACCCCAGACTGTGAGAAAGACAGCAGGGGCTTCCATCCCAGAGGGGAGGGCTGTCTCCAGGAGAAGTCTCTGTGCTCACAGCCCTGCTATTCCCTTGCACTCTCATATTTATTGCAGCCTGACTCTCACACCAACACTAGGAGACTGGCCTTAGAAAGAAAGCCTTTTTATAGATTTGAATAAAGAAGAGAAAACAATTGTATACCCTGAGATGAGTGCTGGCTGGCGACACTCCTACCTACACAGTTGCACACACAGGCAGTAAAGGCTGAGGAAATTCTCCACTGGTCAAAGGCTCTAAACACACACACACACACACACACACACACACACACACACACACCCTTGACAGGAATGTCTCACAGAGTCCCCAGTGAGAATGCCAATTCTTGGAGAACAGAAAGGTAAGGGGCCAACATGATCAGGAAAAGAATAATACATTTTCCCAACGTTGCCACCCCAGAACACACAGTCACACAATACCTGTCTCACATGGGAGTTCCCATTCTCATGCTCACTTACTTTTATGGGAGAGGCATCTTAAAATTGATCCAGGCATGACAATTCCCCAAAATCCATTCAGACACATTTAATCCAGGGCTTGAGAGGGTCTTAAACACATTGGGACTCACAAGGACTCAGAGAGACTTCAGTCTTTGCCTGGGTTACCAGGGTCCCAGTGCAACCCCAGTGAGCTTCCACAGGCTTTCTCCTTCTCTTTTCTTTTTAAAATTTTTTTATTGATTTCAGAGAGGGAGAGGGAGAGAGAGAGATAGAAACATCAATGATGAGAGAATCATTGATAGGCTGCCCTCGGCACACCCCACACTGGGGCTCGAGCTGGCAACCCAAGGCATGTGCCATGGAATGGGGATAGGGGTGGGGATCGAACCATGACCTCCTGGTTCATGACCTCCTGGTTCATGATCTCCTGGTTCATAGGTCAAGGCTCAACCACTGAGCCATGCTGACCAGGCTCTCCTCTTTTTCATCGCCCTCTTCTGGGGCTTTAGTGCCGGTCCCTCTGTGTGTGGAAGGATTCACTCATTTGATTATGCGTGGGTTTGTGTGCAGAAGTGGAGGGCCCCTCAGAGAACTCTAGACGTCTTCCCCTCCCCGCGCAGTCTCCAACTTCCACTGTGTGTACATTGGGTGTTGTGGGACTGCCCAATGCATCTTCAAAGAGAGGTGGGGACCATATCAAGAGAGCCCCAGACCTCTTATTATTCAGTTTCTTTTTTTGCTCAAGCATACATTTAATCTTCAACTCTTTTCATCTCAAGGGAGACTCTGGTTTTGGGGAAAGGTTAGGGTGGTGGATAGGAAGAGAAAGGGGAGATAGAATTAAAAATGAACCTTATTCCTGGGAGATTCACTTACATCTCCTAAATCTCTACTTCCCAGCATATGATTCTTTGATAGTTAACCCAAAGTTAAAATGCAGTTGAATGGGACTGGTGCCACATCAGTAGCAAAGCCTCCAGAGATGGTGAATTCTTCAAGCTCTTTGTCTCTCAGACTCCCTGTGTGTGCATGTGTATGTTTCATCCTCAGAAACATTTATTTATTTCAATAAAATATTTAAAACTTCAGCCATCAGGTAAAGGGAGACCAGAGAACTCTAATTTCCAATTCAATGCCTCCAGTCTTTCTGTGTCTCAGGAGAGGAAGAATATTATATATAAAAATTGCCGCAGTAAAGATTTAATCCAAGATAACATTGTTTTAGGCTATGTTGCTTTTTAAAAGTCTCCTAACCTGACAATTTAACAATCTCATTAACTCTGCCAGATAGGGAGATAGGCATGGACTGACTCAACAGAAAAAAACAAATTAGTGGCAGGGCCTATGGGGCTCCAGATTGCTTGAAAGACCGAGGTTTCCAGGAATGCTGGAGAATAAAAGTGGGGTTGCTTTAGTGAACTGGGGGCACCAGGGATCCTAGCAGCCTGACCTCTCTACATAGGTCACTGGGGAAAGAAAGAGTGCAGCCTGGGAACACCGAGCAGGGCAGGGGTGGCAGTGCGGACCTCTCCCTAGCCTCAGCCCTGAACTGGCTGTAGGAATTTGGGACCCTCTGCAGACAGTAGGGCCTCCAGTTAGCTTTCCACTGCTGTCACTACAGCATTCAGCTCCAGCCCCAAATCCAGATCTGAGCCCCAACTACTAACTGAAATAGCAAGTATTTTTCTCACTCACCTGCTCCCAGGCCTTTTCAGTTGCTGATTACATCCTTCTCTCCATCAGGATGGAAAGAACTTTTCTCCTGTCTAGATAGTTTCAACCACCCAAAGTTAAAAAAAGAAACTGGAGCAAAATATGAGTCAGGGGTCTTCCCAGCTGGGGTGATGGCTGTGCTCTTCCAGTGCCCATTCTGGCTGAGTCAGGTCATCAGAAACTTCTCTGAAGAGCCACTGGAAAGAGAGGCTTCCAAAGACTTTGAGCAATAAAATCAAGGCCCAAAAAAAGATTTTATTTTAAAAACAGGTTTGTGGGTTTTTCTTTTTGCATTCAATTCAATACATTGTCATTCAGACATCACAATACTATATACAGATACACAACATTTTTAAAAAGCCTATTTCTGATGAACATTGCAAAAGAACACTGTTTTGTAATGCGCCAGTGGGAGAAGGTGAGGGGCCCCCTAGCACCAAGTTGGCCTTGAAGAGGGAAATGTTAGGCAGCCTCTACATTAGCTGGCTTTGTGGGGGCCCTTATTTTGGCTTCCTGGAAGAAAACTGCTTTCCTCTGGACAATCAGTAAAAGTGAAAGTATGAGGCCTTTGTTCTCAGCTATTGCCATGATGGAGAAGTGACTGGAGAGGGATTCTGCTGGGGACCCCAAACTCCATCCTGTGGTTCTTTCTTTCTTTATTTTCTTTAAGAAAAAAATATTCTACTTCTTTATGGCCTGGAGAGAGAGAGAGAGAGAGAGAGAGAGAGAGAGAGAGAGAGAGAGAAGAAGAAGAAGAAGAAGAAGAAGAAGAAGAAGA